ATAATCATTAAACACGTGCAGTAAGTAATCAACTCTAGACAATTCAGAGCTTGGAATATGGAATGGCTTCTGTTTATTGTTGATAACAAATCATTGAGCTATGAATATCTTAAACATTTGATTGTCGATTTAACATGCTAGTGTGTTATGACAGCGTAATACATCTATAATGTTTCGGTAATTAAAACTCTCATTCATATTTTTTAGATAAGGAATAAGTTGTCATAATTTCATAAAAAAGATACACGACACTATTGTTTAACATCACATCATTTGATATGTTTTTCAATGCAAACATCAACAAGTGCAGAATGTCGAAATCAGGGACATTGTAATAAACCGACTGTCGTTATATCCATATTTGTTAAAGTTGAAAAGATGTTCAATAAAGTTGCTCGTACGAGTTTCTAAAAGTATATATTGACATAGCTGATGTATCAAAATGAAATCATAGTCTTGCGATTAAACTAACTGCATAGGTATTTTTACTTATCTTCATTCACCGCTCACCCTGCCTTGTCTTCCTGGGGTTGTTCTGCATACCCTGAGACCAAAGACTTAAGTGAATCACGGGCATGTGACTAAATTAACCCATATAGCAACATGCATTTTAAATTAAAAAAAAAATGAAAATGAAATTTTAAATTTGCATTTAAGTCTTTTGCGATTTTATTTGAAGACATCATGTCACATCACAGGCTATGTGCACGTACAAGAACCCAAACAAATGTGTCAGCCTCAAATTATTTCTGTGATGCCATACCTATGAAAACACAGCCATGTTCGTTCTTTTAAAATAAACCAATTATAATTCCTCAAATAATTTGCATGATGTTATGTTTCAATGCCCTTGTCTTTCGAGACGTCTTTGATTGTTATGAAAGCAATTTATTAATGGAAAAAGTTTTTGCTTAATTCTTTCAAAAATACCAAAAAATATGTCTTATTGTTTTTATGTCTTTTTTGACGTTGCATGTTGTAGAAAAAAAACAGGATTTTTTCTGTCTCCTCGCTGATTCGTGTTCTTATTCGTTCGTGTCCATTGGTTCTGAGAATGGGTTTCCATTCACATACAATTTAAATTTAAAGTTGTCAACGTCAAATACTATTGTTTTACCCATCGTTAATTACATCATTCAAGTTCTGTATAATTATGCTACTTCCAATATAAATGACTTAATGCAGGCGTTTGTAGTTGTGATTTGAAAAGACATCTTTTTGCAAAAGAACATTTAGATTCCTGTTTGTGTCTACGAATGTTAAATGTAAACTGCCAGATGTCTAATTTTGTATTGAACTTAATAATATCAGTATGCACAGTTGAGTAAAATTTATTTTTAAATTGATCAACTTGTTTTAAACGCAAAAATGTATTTGATATGTAGACGAATATTATTATCATGATTATCTCAATGAACTTTAAATCATGAGTTCAACTATAATATGGTTTAAGTACATATTTATTACCGTTGTCAATGATGCAGATAATCACGGGTATTTTTACTTGACAAAGATTTTACAAACTTAAAATAAAAATGTGTAGCATGTTGTACCGTGCAGGAAGTAAAAAGGGGCGAAAGTTACCAAAAGGATAAAAAGAAGATGAAAATACAATATAAGTATATGCATTTTTGTTAAATTCAATTAAATTATATTGACCAACAAACTATTGCGTAGTGCAAAGTCTTCTAGAACACTTCAATAACATCTCTTCTAGAATTAACATGTGAATTGTTGTTCAGATATTCAGAATTTCAAATGAAATACGCCTATCTATAGTGACAAAAAAGGATGATGATAAAAAAAAAATTAATGGATATAATGAAGCGGAATTTATAAACCTGGTTGTTTTATGTTCATATAGAATAAGGAGACATAGTTATATTACCAGTGAAACCACTATCAATCAGATACTAACCGACATATACGTGAGCATCTATATGTCACCTTTCGGTGTTCCACAATGAGCAAAATACACAGTTCATTGAAAACACTAAAGGGCCTCGACCTTACAACAAAAACAAGAAACAATTTAAACAAGAAAACAACGGCCTGATTGACAAACAAAACGACAAAGAAACACAAATATGAAACAAGCTGCAAAGACGAGTCAGGCACATTTAGAATGATGTGGTGGGTCTTATAACGTCTTGACTCATAAGATCGATACAAAGCACAGAAACACTAAAGAAATGAAATACAGATCTGAGATTACTCATATTTACTAAAACCTAGTTTAAAGCCCATAATAACTAATGATAGAAAAGACATGTATCCAAGAGTTTTCATTGGGTTTAATCTTTTTCGGCCCTTTTCTTAAAAACCACATTTTGTTTGCCACGCTCAATATGTTTCTGCTAACTAAAGTGAACATATCTTTGTTTAAGATTTGCCTTTTTGCTAACAAAACAAATTCAGTCTGCAGCAGTGTAGTCTCATTTCTTATGATTCTGCATATTTGTTTTGTATTTTTTTTGTAATAAATGACATTCAATTTAAACAAAACATGCTTATATGATTTTTTTAAAAAGATAACGTAAAATTGCATTAAAAATCAAGAAATAATGCTGCGGAAAGGTGAGCATATTAGGCTTAAGCGTCAGGTACAAAATAAAAACTTATTAAGACGATTTCATTTTTAAGTGTCTCGATCTGGTCTGTTGGTATTGACCTTTGGCATATGTAAATGTTGTAAGCAAAATAAACCGAGGAAAAGAGTTTTTGAAAATGACTTTATTGTTAAGCTATTTACGTACAAAATTCTTTTAATTCCTGTTAAACATTCAAGTTGAAATTAGTTTCTTTCCGTTATGAGTTTGCTAAACAATTCTCTCCAATCTAATGTTCTCATCGGATGAAATTGTCTATCCGAGATAAACACAAGTAATAACGTAGTCTGTTTTGCCAACTTAATACATGACGAATTTACTCAAATTATGTATAATGTAAGTAATAGGGCTTGCCGTTATGTTGACGTCTGATTCCAGCTCAAAACTATCAATGCAAGTTTAGATATTGTCAAAAGACTAGCATACAATTGATGCAAGTTACACAACGCACGTTGGAAATTGAAGAAAAACAACGTAAAATATGTTTTATACTACAAAATTGCGATATCTTTTCTTCACTGAAGTATGAATCCCGAGTCATTCAATTTTGATAACTCGTAGGGGTTTTAAACTTTAAACGACCCAATACAAACAAATTGATAACATATGAATATTAAAGACACAAAGAAGATTTCAAAGTATATTCATGCAAAGGGGTGTTACTCTAGGAATGTTTATGGTTTATTCGAAATGATTAAAATGTTTAAAATAATTCATAAGAAGCTTTTGTATATAACTCTTTCCAAAATTTGACAAGAATCTAAAACCTTAAAAAAGAATGATATAAAGAAGATGCGTGAGTTTATGCCAATGAGACAGCAAACCATTTATATACAAATCAAAAGGAATTTAACCTACGTATTTTCAAATATACAAATGCTTTGGTCACAATAACCAAAGCTCTTAATCGTCCACAGTATGGAAACGTTGTGTATGCATTTAACCGAAACTATCATAAATCATTACGCCATATTTCAATTTATTCCATGATAATTAAAATGTGAGTGAATCATATGATAGAATGATAATTCTTCTTATAGAATCAATATTTAGTTTGGTAGTAGAAAGATTGTATCATTCTTTTTCGTGATTTAACGATTTGCTTATCCTAACCTATAGTGTTCATATTTTACCTAAAAGTGTACATCACTTTATGATAGGAATAATAAGAGCAGAACCACATGAGTAGCAAGACGAGCTAACATCCTTTACATTGAAGAAAGCTACTAGTTTGAAGGATCAACACATGGCTCAGTTTTCTTATTTTGATTACTGCTGTACGCCACAATAAAATACACATGCTAAAGGCACCGTTCTATTCCTCTCTTTTCAGCTAAGGACTTGATAGTATACACACTAAGTGAACGGTAGTAATAGAAACTTCACGAACTATATGTTTTTTTCATTGTTCACCTAGTTTAAGAGGAATCATTAACGGGTGTGTATGTGTTTTTTTTTACTATCCAACACAAGCACCAATCTTTTACATATACCATTGCTGTATGCATTTGCAGTCCTTTAGATGTGTATGGCTTCATTATTAACTAATTTTTAACATTAAAGTAAAAACAAAGAAATTACGAAGTTTCCGCTCTATTTCTTTTAGCAAATATTCTACTGAAAATGGGAAAAATACTCACCCATTACTAATAGAGTGTTTTGATATATGAATCTTCACGGTGTGTTGTAACGTTAAATGATGAATACCAAATAGTATCGGTAGGCATCGTTTCATCTTGGTCTTTCAAATATTTTTTTTTTCTAATTTTAAACACAGTTGACTTAAAACGAATTAATATTGTTATGTTCTGTCGTTGCGCATAACTCTTGATTCTTGTTAGTTCAAATAAATAACCTTCTAAACCGAAATTTGGGAAGCTTTTTGTATGAAACTTTTTGAATTTTCAAACCAAAAACCAAAACTTGCCACAAAGCACCGTTAATGTATTTATGTAAATGGATCATCGCACTTTTAGTTACTGTAACTGTGCATTTTTAAAAGGAAATAAGATAAAACGTTAGAAATGATATGATTTGCATAACTGTGAAAATACCACAAATCTTAACCTGCACTGTATCTGCAATTTATAAAGCTAAGGATGAATGTAACATGCGGGTAACCTACTGTGAAATTTTGTGATATTATTAAACAAAGTGGGGATTCATTAAATCTAATAATATGGCAAATAATCTATTTTCTCAGGCATAACTTTATCAAAAAAGCAAACCCTGAAACTCTCTCAATTGATAAAGATATTATACCACGTCGGAAACAAGGTTATTAAGATTCATGTATTCCTCATAAACAATCGAATCAAACAGTAACTTGAATAAAACTAATTTTTAGCTTGGTTGTTGTTCATTCTTTTAGGCAGTTCCTTAACGAATGTAGAAAGCCATTTTTTTTATTAAGAGTGAAAAAAAATCTAACAAAAATTCAACATATATCATACATTTGTGCAACAAATTAAAACTAAAATATGCATGTAACAACACTATATAACACAGACACATGGCAAAAGAAAGAGTACAAAACCAAATTAAAAAATTCTGATACAGCATGCTCATATATCTATAACACATGAAAAGCAGATCACAGCTATTTATTTTTCCTTGTCATTTCTGAGGCTTTTTTTTTGTCTGATATTTTTATTTGTTGGCCCTTTTGAAATAATTGATTCGTTTCTGTGTTCATGGTTCTTTTTTATTTATTACTGCGTGAACTGTTTTAAGCATATTTCTAATCATTTTCTCTATTTATAATGATGCATTTCAATAGTTACAGGGACCAGGCTTTTGTATGGTTGAGCATAACTACAAGCAGCTTCAGTTTCACTTTTTTTTCTTTTGGGGTCACTGGATTCATTCTGTACTACTGGATATGCATAACAATCGGAATTTCGATCTGTTAATATGTCGTCATCGATGGTATGGTATATATGCATACTTTTCTTTTGTGTAGATATATTTTGATTGTCTTTGACTGAACCTCTTAGAATTCTGTTTTCTTCATTTGAAATTGTCATGTTTGGTTTTTTCCCTCTATTTCTGAACTGCACACAAGCAGAACAGCTCAAAACCAGCAATATAATTCCTGCAATTCCTCCGCAGTAGACAAACAACTTCAAATTTAGCACTATAAAACAAGAAATGCATATGTATAGATTTGCACTTTAGCGATTTAGTGTGTGTAATAAAAATGTCCCTCTTCATTGACATTCACTATGTAACCTTTACTGTTTAGTCCATTTTTGGTAAGATACTTGTGGCGTGGCTCGGTATTTTTACATCACGCCATTGTGTTATTGTGCTATGGTCATTTTTTGATTTCTTGTCTTTCATTTTTGTTTATGTACTTTGTCTATAGAGTGTCTATATGCCATTTTGTTTTTCTTTGTTGAAATAGTTTTGTTTTTATAGTGATTAAGATTATAACACAATGTTGACTGCTGTACCCCAATTTTTGACATTTTATCTATTATGTCTGTTTGTTTAGCTCACACATTGTTGTCAATATAATGGAATTCTATGCGACTGTCAAACAAGTGAGAGGTTTAGCTAGCTATAAAACCAGGTTTAATCCACCATTTCCTACACGAGGAAATGCCTGTACAAAGTCAGAAATATGACAAGTGTTTTCCAATCGTTTAATGTGTTTGAGCTTTTGAGTTTACTTTCCGTTTTGAATTTTCTTTGGAGCTCGGTATGTTTGCTGTTTTACTTTTTACTTAAGGCATGTTCAAAATATTTGTCATCTGCTTATTTTTCTGATAAAAATTATTAAAACATAAAATATCGGTGAATATCATGATAGTTGAATTAAAAAAAGACGCATAAATTGAGTACTCGATTATGTTAACGGGCCATAATCGAGTCCTCGCTCGGAAATACATCTTTTAATTTGAAACACCACATAGCCTTGAGTGTCGTTGTCTTATGTACGCTAAAACATAAACTTTATTTTCTATATAAAGATATCATACCAAATATCTCTAACACTACATGTACTTATCGGCTAACAATGATTTAATCAAGAATTCAAAAAATATCTATTGAATATATATGAAAACAAAGTCAAAACTGACCAAACAACAGTTACATTCGTTTTTGTAAAGAAAATGTATTCACAGAAATAAATGCACGTGGAGATAAGCTGTCACTGTTGCGTTTGGCTAATTACTGAGGTCATCACAGGTTGTGACGAATTTGCTCGTAAGAAATATTATCTTGTCCAATGAAAGTCGGTTTCGCAAATTTGTAACTAAAAGCCATGCAGACGCAAATAATCGCTCTGACGCTATTCCGATGTGGCCGAAAATTTTATTTTAGAACCATTTTTAAATTAAATGCATAGGCCTGGAAAAGCTGCTCTCTTATGCAGCCCATCACCTTAAAACAGTACGAGACTTTGACGGTAGCTGTTAGGGAAATTTTAAACGATAACCGGTTCTACTAAGCGAGTATTCGAGTATTCGTTGACATCCCTCAAATATACTAAACATACTTTTGTTCAATGAGGATAAGAATAAAATCTCATTAAGATATATAAAGTATTGCTCGACTATCAAAACTTGTTACCCGTCTGTTTTTCGGAAAAAATATCCTCCGTGGCTCTTGTGGAATGCGCGGTGTTGTCTACAAAGAAAATATGACATAAATTACGTCATATAATAATGTCGGAGTAAACAATTTTATTTTAGCGTAAATATCATATACAGCAGTCCAAATCAAACAGTTTTACAACAAATGAAATTCAGAGTTAAACAAGTTTTTTTCCGAGGTTTTTATGTACCTTTACTGGTCACTAATGATTATTTTGAAAACGTGCATCTGACAAACACAAATCTAAATCCTGGTATCTCTGATCAGTTTATTTGATTAAATCTAAAATCGGATTTTCTTAATTTTCTGCAGTCTTTTTGCATTTTATTGATGATTTATCATTCTGATTGTCTTATTTGCTCACGATTACCTTGAATAAACTCACAGAAACAAAAAAAAAACAACAAAAAACTAATTTATTCTCATATAATACTAGTTTATTCATCTATAGAAACAAATACATAAAGAGAAAGAAAACATGAAAGACAATACATAAACATCTAAATTCAGTTGATTCAATTTGACGGATGACCTAAGAAAAATACAGATGATGGATTTATTTTCACATCTAGTATAAATATTTGGTTACTAGCATTCCGACTTTAATCGATGGCTAAGCATACATTGAAACTGGGTACCATACTTCAACATGTTGAAGGTTCATTAGAGATTAAAAAACCTCTGCAAGAAATGCGAAAAAAAGGCTACTCAATCTTTAGTTTTCTATGTAATGTTTTATGGACTATTCGTTTTTGCCATAACATTGTCAGTTTGTTTAATCGACTAATGAGTTTTGAATACCCCCTCGTTGTGCTCCGCTTCTTTTTGATAATACAGTAAACTCTTGTTGGTTTTTTGGCTCTGGAAGGGTAAGCATTGCCTTTGCAAGATGTTGAATTGCTTAAGCAAATACAAATCCGACATTAACGAAAAGACACAGTATATTCACTAAGCAGGTATTAGACTCTGAATGTGTAAATTAAAAGAATACCGTACAAACACCCAAAATAAAGGCATTTCAGAACAATCTCTATCATATGTGTATTTAATGATATTGCGCAATAGGACAACATATATCAAACTGTATAATGACAAATTTGATTGAGTGTTTAGGGTACATTTAGAAACATTATGACATTTTGACTGAGTGTGGATTTTCATAGCGGATCGGGACCAAGCATGCAAATAAAGAATGGTTTTCCCTGTTGACGCATTTTTTAATCGCTTCTTTTTGGAGATCACGTGATACCCTGTATTTATGTTTGTTACCTTGATTTGTGAGATTTAAACATCGGTAAATTACGGTTGTTTAAATTGATATGGTGAGAATTAAACGAGATAATTCGACGTGTGTTTTATTTTCGCTTATGTACTTTGTCTATATAGTGTCTATATGCCATTTTGTTTTTCTTTGTTGAAATAGTCATTAGTGTTTTCATACAAGTGAGAGGTTTAGCTAGCTTTAACACCAGGTTCAATCCACCCTTTTTACATAAGAAAATGCCTGTACCAAGTCAGGAATATGACAGTTGTTATCCATTTGTTTGATGTGTTTGAACTTTTGATTTTGCCATTTCATTTGAGGACTTTCCTTTTTGAATTTTCCTCGGAGTTCAGTATTTTTGTGATTTTACTTTTTTTTTTATAGTGATTAAGATTATAACACAATGTTGACTGCTGCACCCCAATTTTTGACTTTTTGCCTATTATGTCTGTTTGTTTTGCTCACACATTGTTGTCGATATAATGGAATTATATGCGACTGTCATACAAGTGAGAGGTTCAGCTAGCTATAATACCAGGATTAACCCACTATTTTCTGCATTACGAAATGCCTGTACCAAGTCAGGAATATGACAGTTGTTTGCCATTCGTTTAATGTGTTTTAGCTTTTGATTTTGCCAGTTGATAAAGGACTTTTCGTTTTGAATTTTCTTTGAAGTTCGGTATTTTATTTTTTTACTTTTAATAATAAACCAATGCAGATTGGTCAAAACATGTTCAAGAGAGCTATAAGATACCAACATGATAATCAAAAAGATGAATTCAGAATTAGAAAATCAACTATTATAATTGAACTCTCGATTACAAAGGTTTGAACAATCTCATATGTTAAAACCAGGACAGTTTGACAATATAAATACAGAACCTACCGCTTACTTCATTTGGTATACACCCTACTACATTATCACACCTGTGCAATAGATAATAATAAATTAATGCTAGGCAATATTAATTGATAAGTTCAACATTATGTAATATAAAGGTCTTAAAGAATATAGCTATATTTTTGAGGAATGTAGAAAAAATATTGTAAGCAGCTGTACTGCTCATAATTAATTTAATGATACGCAGTTGTATATTTTAGCTGCCATTTCCATTTGATTTTTTGTACTGAATTCCTCTTGTAACACTATATGTGTCTGAGAGTTTACAATAAAGAATTTGAACTTGAACTTGAACACGTGTCATATGTATTTGACTTGTTATTTCTTGTAATTTCGTTACGTAACCTTCATTGAGATGGGAACGATTTTAACTATGTATAAAAAATCTTGCATATCACTGAATGCGTAGTTTCTTATGTCAAGATGACGTTATGGACATGCATGTACATGTATCACAATTGTCAACAACGGAATGATATAGTTTGTTTTTCCACAATATTTAAACAAATTTCTATAAACAATTTTCAAACATATTATTTTAGCACCAAAACATTTGTATCGGACATCTAATTGGCAAACATCATCGACCGGATCTTTTAATGAGGCCTTTCTTTTTTTTCCATTGAAGACCGTAAGGAACAATTCATGATGTTATCAAATTAAAAGATGAATACTAGTTTTTGACACACTAATGTATTTAAAATAACTGTTGAATGATTTTTTTCTATATAGTTAAAATAACTGTATATGTCAGTTGATAGATTTTTATTTTTTGATTTTCAAATTAAATGTGCTTATTCCTATCAACATTTGTTGTCGCCATGAATGCAATTTTGTCTTCCTGCACTATTCATGACGCTGTTATCTGAAATAAATACTCAAAAACAGAGATTCGATAATACAGTACAGTGCATTTTGAGTTTTGAAGTGACATATTTACTATTTTGAGCTTAATTTGATAAATTGTGTTTGGTGCGTAGTATGGTTTCACGTGGCAGAAATTGCAAAATAAAGAAATCAAAATCCGCTTAGTTTTCATATTTGTTTTTTTTTTTTTTTTTCTTTTTTTTAAATGTTCTTGTCGACATAGAAATTAGGTTTGATCATGTAAACAATTTGGTGATTATCCAAAATATGAAACATTGCAATATATTTTGCTATTGTTTTGTTTTTATATCATTAAATGAAATATAACGATCTTTCATGATTTATCTTATTCTATTCATTTATCTTTATTAACTTTTTGGTCTATGTTGAGCTTCACATGCTGTATATTGAATTGACTTCCATATGTATTTCCTGTATATTTCAGTTGCTGTCTCGTTTGCTCACAACTGTGTCTCTTTTTGTGAACGCAATCAACAATTTAGACATAAGAAAACACAAAAAAGCAGACATAATACAATTTCCGAAGCAACCAGTTTTTAGCATAATCCTATTCTTTCAATTGTCATTTAATAATGCAAGTAGTTAACGAAAATATCCTTACATAGGACTTTATTTAGATTAATGCTATGTTTAAAAGGTAAGCCTGGAATGGTTAACAAAAATTATCTATATTCTATTATTATACGTGAACTTTAACATGTTTAATGTTTCAAACCAGTTTGATGTTTATGAGAGTACTTTTAAATTAGCGAATCAAGTTTGGTGTGCCAAGTTTTAATCAAAATGGAACAGTGACTTACAAATTATATCGGGTGGTCAATATCTTTCATATTTCAAAATGAATTATGATATAAAACAATATCTTTATAACCTTTTAGAGTTATTTAGTATTATTTACAAAATTAGATATTGCAAATTCACGATGACCTTTAGAAACATGTAGATGGTTGAATATAATAAAACTCGAAATATGATGAAAGTAATGCAAAGAATATATTTGTAACAAAGAACATGCTTGTATATTAATAGTTAAAACTGTAGCATAAGAAAACTAGCATTTGCTTCCATATTGTAGAAATATCCACAACCATGCCAACATTGAAGGTTTTTTGTCACTTTGTAATACTGAACCTTATCAGAAATTCTCAATATTAATTGGAAAACTATATTCTGTATATTATTTTATATCTTCTAGCTATTTTATGCTTGAAAATCTAAATGAATAATGTCATATTGACATGAAGATAATTACATATTTATTGTGTATACTAGTACCTTATGACTAATTACATGTACCTCTTGTAACTCTTGTACTGCACGCTTATGAAAATTGTATAACAACTGTTGAAATAAAAATATTTAATTTAATAGTATTTTACCTCTCTACACTCTGACAGTTGCAACGAACCAGACATCTTTCACCGAATCTGTTGTTTCCACACGGGGTGCACGAGTTGCCGCTTATAGATGTAAAACCAATGTTGCATTCTGGAAAATAGGTAATAATATGAATATGATATGTTATCTATTTTTCAATCGTTCATTAAGATAAATTTATCACATCGATTGGTTTGTTTTTGAAGTTTACACCAAAGAGTGTAGATACTACCATCGAGGACCTGTTGGTTCAAATTCAGTATAATATATGCAAACACGATTATTTGACTTTATGTTAATTTTTTTATTTGTCCTATCGAGAAGCTGCGTTGGGCAATTTAACATCAGGGTTCTTTAAAGTGACATACTAAAATTCTTTCCTGGCCTTATTACGATACAAAAAAATAAATAGGCGTTGGCGTACAAAACTATATGCCTGGTATGTCTTTTTTTCGTTGGTATAAGATGGAATGCGAAAAAAAAACGTAAAATTAATGAGATTGCACTTCAGCTAGAAAATAAAGAAACTGCCACTTAAAAATTTATTTATGATAACATATTTGTAAATTCCAAAATTAATTGTCTGTTAGTTGCTCATGGGTATTTTAACAATGTATGCACTTGTAAATATGTTACTGAATAATACTAATTTTGTTGTTGTTGATTAATGGATAATTTTTAAACGAAAACTCAAGCCCTACTAACATGTAGTTCACATTGGAGTAGTCTGTCAAAAAGGTTTGAGTCAACAATATCATTTTAGAAAATTTTGGGAAACTAGGCATTTTCAATTATGATATAATATATACAGATTTACATGTTTTGGCTAATTTAGATTTTATTCGTACATTTATGCATTTTTTTAATTTTTTTAAGTCTGTAGTGTTATATATCTATGATGTATGTTTACATTAGTTTGGCTGCTTGATCCCAATAAGTATGAAGTTAAGCAAATGTGTTTGGTTTGCTTGCTCATACGCTTTTCTCAATATGGCGGATCTAAAAACAACTGCCATAAAAGTGGGCGGTTTAGCTAGCTATAAAACCAGGTTTAACCCTCCTGTCGTTGAAAAATGTTAATTCCAAATCAGGAATAAACAGTTGTTTTCCATTCGATGGTTGATATAGTCGATAGTTTGGTTTTGTTAGGTTTCATAGTCTTTAAATTAAATTAAACTTGAGTTTGGTATTTTTGTTAATACATATTTTTACCCTTACACAATAATAATTTAACATAATTTTGGTCCGTTTGCGCACAACCTTTAATTTGACCCTTAATTGGTGATTATTTAAGTGTGGTTAGAAATGTCTGTCTGACTTATGATAAATAATAAATTGAAAGTTTAAAAAGGGAACAACCATGATGTCACATTATAATCGACAGACGTATAAAGTCACCACCCTGGTTGATAAGATAACTGACGTTTTCCAAATTGTGCATGAAATGCTGATACTTTTTTTCCATTCCATAAAATTGAGAATGTGTCAAAGAGACAACAACCCGACCATAGAGCAGACAACAACCGATGGCCACCAATGGGTGCATTGATTAATTGTTTCCAATGGACCTGTTGTAGTTTTTTTGTGATAAGTTTAGCATGTTATCAATAAAATTAAAGTTTGAATACATTATTTGATAATAATTTTATCAATGTATACATCTGTAACAATGTCTACCTATAGCAGAAGCCTTCTTGACAGCAATTACATAAAAAAAGAAAAAAGTAATTCATGTGTTCATTGTATAGTGGCTTTCTTATCCTACTTTTTTAACTCTGAAAAAGTGGTTAGGAAAGGTTTCGTTACGCTTTCTTGTAATTTGTATTGTTAATTTTTATAATTGGGAATGTTAAGCAAGGTTTAATTGAATACTTAACTAAGCAGTGAAGTTTGTTTAACTATTGCTGCATTTTTTTTCGACAAAAGTTGAAAAAGGAAGGCAACATTGACGGGATTCAATATATAGTACTTACCTGTACATATACCATGTTTGTCTTCATAGCCCGCACAACAATACTCTATTTTGCTATAAACAAAGCATATTAAATAAATTAAAAAAGATCTTTAACAAAATCGTTTTTATAATTGTTACGAACATTTCTATAATCTACTCTTCCTCGGAGGACTCGTGAGGACATGACGAATTCAATGACTCTCGTAAGGCTTGGGAGTTTATTTCAACAAACCTTCGTCACGATCATTACATGTTCCTGAGCAATAATTTGTTATGAATATACAAGGGCTACCTGTTACCATCATATTTGCTGTTTAACATAGCTATATTCTAACAATGAGAAGAAGTGGTATGACTTCCAAGGGGACAACTACCGCTAAAAACCAACTGACGATTATGTTAGGAACTATATGTCACTATATGGCAGTTAACAACCGAAAAAGCCAATACTATATACAATTAAGTTATAAAAAGGCACTTACATGACATACTGTTAAGTAAACACAAAATAAACCAGCTACCTCAATATTCATAAAATAGATAAACGAAAAACAAATATATAAGACATCAACCAACGATAACCACTGACTTTTCGGATCTTGTTTTTAGACAGGCACATACACAATTTCGTGGGTTTGAAGATGTGTGCAAGCCCTCGATCCTCTCATTGGTCGCGGTGTTACAGCACAACATAAGAACGAACTATAAACGTTTGTTGAGAAATGCTTGATTCATCAGATCGATCCAAATCACAAAAACCGCTATCATTATGTGTGGTTGATAATTATGTAGAACTTTGATTATGTAACTTTGCCATACACAAGTTTAAACAAGTTGAGTGCAATTCAAATACTTACTTAATTAAAATAGCTTATAAGACAATCCGCTACACACTTTATTGCGTGATTATGTTAAATTGATCGTTGATGAGTACAATCACAAATTATGTTTTATTTTATATGAAGACGTTTGAAACGTATAGTTTATTCTTGCAAACTGTACGCACTATGAGTTTATTGTTTTCGAATAGTTACAATCGTCAGTAACAGAAACAAGTAAAGCGATAAAATGATGAACCAAATAAAATTTATTTAAAGATATTACAATCGTTTTAGTCTATCTTTATAACCAATAACTTTAACAGTGTCCATTTTATCATAATTTTTGCAAAAAACTCGTACAATAGAAACAGAAGCTTATAGTTAAATACCCCCTCCCCCGCCCTCTCCCCTCCAAAAAAAAATAATAATATAAAAACATAATAACATATTTAACAAAAGTTATTATTTGCGATATGTTTGAATACTGCAAATTGTTTATTTGATTAATAAATTTAGAAACAAATATCATAGTTTGAAAAAAGAACAATTTGCATTGAAATGCTATACGTCAATCACAAATTTGATTCATTCTTTTAAAGGATGTGGAACGAATTTCCTGGAAATATTTAATAGATTAAAATTGTAATAATTCAAAAGAGGTCATTTCCGCTGATTCAATTTCTGTTATAGTCAGGTTTTCATAAAATTCATATCGAAGCCCAAATGTTACATAACGACAAAGTACAAATGAGACACGATAGCAAATTGGGACTTCATTTGTAAATCATCTATAAAAAGAATTACAATTATAATTATCAGTAAGCTGAGAAAGCTTTTTCAAGTTTTATATGTAAGTGTACACAAGGCTATTAGACGAATTATATCATATAGGTTATGAATCCTTTTCATTTTGGATAAAAGGGGGTGTTCGATGTACTTTATTGTTATAATGAGGAGTAGGAAATTCCATTACTTTAATTGGGCCAAAAATAAGATCAACTTTAAACGTTATCATTTGTGATTTTAACTTCTCCCAGCAATGCAAAAATAGACCCTTTTTGGAAAATAAAAACACATTTCACACTTGAAAAGTTACAATGGCACAAATTATGACCAAATTTTAAAGTAAGTAACATTTCATGAATTTTCTCTGTTATAAAAATTTATATTGTGGATTGGGAAATTATGTGCGCACTCATTGAACAACTTATATGTGCCGAAATTATGTAGATAGCTATAACAACGGTTCTCTAAACGTTTGTTGTCGTTTCTTGGCTGAGCATGATGTTTCCACGTGTTGAAATATAGACTTGAGATCTCTTACTAGCACACCTCTTTTGTAATTCATTATACATCTTATTATCATACCATTGGTTACATTATGTACACGCTGAAAATATTCTCAAAAACTTTATGTTGTCTTGCCATAACAGAATCAAAATGTTCCTTCACCTTTTTGATAATAAAAAAAAAGATATCAAGAACAATAAGAATTATTAGTCGATAACAATCGGACAGAAGAATGACTAAAATTAAAATTGACGAAATATGTTCGTGTTGCTTAGTCTTTAGTTTTCTATGTTGTGTCATCTGAACTATTATTTGTCTGTTTGTCTTTTTAATTTTGGCCATGACGTTGTCAGTTTATTTTCGATCTATGAGTTTGACTGTCCCTCTGGTGTCTTTCGTCCCTCTTTTATACTGTGTATAACACTGAAGATTAACGTCAATGAGGGCAATTAAATCTTGATAGCCTAGTGGCATCCATCGTAGTGCTCATGATGACTATGTCTTCTCTGGTGAATAATCAATTTACCAAAATAAAATGGCGTTCGTAAACCTTTCGAATAGACGACTTCAACTGTACCTGGTGAAACCCTGGGTTCACAGCTTCCTTTAAAACAATTGACCTATTTTATCAAATCACGAAAAGAAACGCAAGCTCTAGAATATCATATCGACTGGTATATAAATGTTCCATATGTAGGCAGTGCTTTAATGCTATTATATAGACATTAAAGGTTAAGGAAGGAAAACTGAAATACTGTTGTTGTTGTAAAGTTTATAACCGCCCTTACTATTCATTAAAGATGTAAGATACAAAATGAACAGACATAATTGTGATTGCGTTATTTTTTTTTTAATTAACTGGATAGAGCGTTCAACATAGTGTCAACACTTTGAAATAATCAGTGAAAAAGAGACATTAGTTCATTCGACAACCAATACTTTTCAAACATAATTAAAAATCAAGAAATTGAATGCTGTAATACAGATATTCCAGTACGGTCTACAAGCTCGTGAGACATACTAAGAATGCAAAAAAGATTAAGACAGACTATGACAGAATCAATACATGGCATATTATAACTTAAATATGGTTTACTTGTAATATTCGATATGAAACACAATATTTATAAAAAATTAGTAATCACAGAATCCAAATTTTTCTTTTTTGCAAAGTAAAAAAAACGTACCTTCTCCAGTCTTCGCATACATTCAGACCTTCCAAACATATGCCTTCGTGGATAGTATAGATTATTAGCAATACAAAGGTAAGAGACATTTTTTTGTTTCGGTACTGGCAACATTCATTATCACTCTTTCAAGTGATTGGAGATCAGGAAGAAATTTTAAAATAAATTTAAAAAACTGTCGGTAAATTTAGTCATGAAAACACGTGGGACGCCTACAGATTGAACGAATGAAACCAATTTCCTACTTCGTGATGGACTATTTCATCAATTAAAAAAAAAAATCGCGAACAAAAGTTAATGCTACAACCAGAACTAATAATTTCTCATCAGTTGCAATTTATCAACAGAAACAAGCTCAATGCATGTAATAGTATGATTTACAGGATACGTAGCTTAGATACAATAATTTGCTGCAAATGTGTTGCAAATTAGAAATTTTGTGGAAATATGTATAGTATAATTGCCAATTCAAATTCGTAATTATTATATTTTTGTGTTTAGTTCATTCCATTTCATTAACTCTTGTTATTCTGTTATTCTGTAATTGTGAACATTGTCATTTCATTCTATGCGGAAATAAAGCTAACATTGATTGATTCATTAACTGATTGAAAGAATGAATCGGAGTTCTTATTGAGCCTTTTTCTATTGTTTGATGTATGATTACAGTTTTAGCTGCTGGATCCAATTAGTGTCACATTAACATTTTATATAAACATAAGGAAATGTTATATGATTGCCAATGAGACAACTATCCACCAAACTTCAAATGAAGTGGATGTAAACAATTATAGGCAACCGTACGGCCTCCAACAATGAAAAAAATCCGTATCTTGTAGCCGGCTATAAAAGGCCCTAACATGAAAAATATCAAACAATTCAATTGGGAAAACTAACGGTCTATGTCTGTTTGGGGTGCTTACTTTATTTTGTCACTATAATCATGATAATTGAAATATAAATAACTGTCATACTAGTGAGGAGTTAAGCTTGCTATAAAACTATTTTTAACCCACCATTTTCTTCGGCAAATGATTTTACCAAGTCAGAAATATGACAGTTGTTGTCTATTCGTTTCGTTGGTTAATACAGTCAAACGTTTGATTTTGTCATTTTTAATGGACCACACCTTTGAATTTACTTTGGAGTTCTGTATTTCTGTTAATACTTTTTGGTGAACTAATTTATTAATATCCGTGAACATATTCATGATAAACATCTTAAAAAATCACGGCGTTACTATGAACACGCATTTTCACATTATATACTAAGTCTTTGATCTTTTTTAAAATTTACGACATTATTTTATTTTCACAGACCATTTAATTTTCATTAATAACCCTCCATATTTTTTGATAAATAACTCATGCAAATGATCTGAAATATAGTATGCATTTGTTATGCAAATACCTAATACTGTCAATAAACAGAGAAAACATAACACCATTGATATGTGACTTTGTGTCCGAAAAGTTTTTGTTATACTAGAAAAGTGATTAAATCGTTGATTTTTTTTATGAAGATGGTGCATTTTCTCCCTTATATATTGTATAAATGAAAATGGTCTTCCTCTTCTGTTTGACAAACTATACAAATATTTGACTGTCTTTTGAAATTCTCAATTTCATTTTTATTAAGTTTCTATTATTTATTTCTGAAAGATTAATACACGAATCAAGAAGGATTATGTATCCTGGTGTTGTTGTTTCCTCTATTCATAGTACATGTAGTAATGTGTATTGCTGGTTTTAGGAACCAGACTAACGTACGGATTGAGATGCCTGCAGCGATCTTCATTTCCATTGCCTTCAATGACAGTGCCATACGATCCATTTATGACTTGTAGATATGAGCTACTAGCTACATGTTGGTCTTCGATCAATCCAGTGATCATATTTGCATTCATCTTGTTTCGTTCTTTACAAAAGCAGGTAAAGCCCAAACATCCTCCAATCATTACTATTGCACCTAATATTGCAGCCCCGAACAAAAACATGTGCAATTCAAACACTGAAAAAGTTTATAAATACTAGTATTATATATCTATATATGTATATGTGTGTGTGTGTATTATGATTAAATTGTGTGTTAATGTAAGTAACAAATAGAGATATGCATCAAAATCGTCAAAGATTTGTATCTTATCAGAACTAAACCAACATCTAGTCTGTATTATTTGCTAGTGTTGCCAAACTTTACATGCAGTTGTTTTCCACTTGTTTTGTTGGTTGATAACTTCTATCTTTTTGTCAGTTTTTGTGGACTTTCCCCTTTTTGAATTTGTCTCTTTTTATATCAAAATACATTCATCAAAAACCTAAAAATGAAGTTTCGTATTTAAAACTGATGGACTTGAATATAAAAAAAAACCAAAAACAACTCGCTTTTTTGCATTTAATCAAATCGATATGGACAAACATTTGTCCTAATTTTTTTAAAACCCCCATAGACACTGGGTCAGGAGAGCATGCTACATATTTTTCTTTATTTTTTATGCATAACCAACGAATTCTCAACCAAGTTAACTTTTATCAGAAAAAGAATATATTCCCTTTGTTTCGAAGGGTATATAAAATATGCGTGCTATTCCTCTGTTTAATCACTAGGCATAGTCGTCTCTTTATGACCCGTCACACGAGCAAATTCAGGAGAAAGCAAGAAATATTTCAAATGTTTGACAGAGGAAAAATGAGATTTACCTAACTGCACTTCAAAAATATTTGCTATAAATCGGTTTCAAAATTGAGAAACTAAATTAAATATTCATACAGAGCACATGAGATCACCTCCTGTTTTGGTGGGGTGAGTGTTGCAGAGTCTTTCGTTTACTATACTGTGATGTGTGTACTGTTGTTTGTCTTTTTTTTTGTCTTTTTTTTTCCTTTTTTGGCACGACATTTCCAGTTCGTTTTCGACTGATGAGGTGGATTATTCTTTTGTCATTTTCTCTCTCTTCTTTTTAATTATGGTTGTCTGATAACAGTGATGTATATTTATCGTAAATTCTTATAAAAAACAAAATGTTTGGAAAAAATATTCAAACGGAAGCCAAGCTTCTGAAATAGCTCTATGAAAGGAAAATATTTAAGTTATCTATTTCCTTCAAGACTGTGTTAAGGTCCGTGTCCTTGTTTTGGAGATATACAATGTAAGCCATTTGTCGGGAGATGATTCTCTCTAGATTATTAATACATTTAACATTGGCAACTTTTTTTCTTTTAAAAACAATGAAAAAACTATTATAAAAAGTAAAGAAAGTCAGTGGACAAAATATTTAATGGCAGTAGATGAATATAATTAGCATGATTAGAGGATGTTGTATATCTATCAAAAAGTAAAAAAACAAGAACAGTTAACATCTTTATTTTTCTTGATTAACTAAAGGAATAATAGAGTCTGAACTATTTGGTTGATATACATGTAATATGATATATCACCTTGAGCAGCAAAAAGTTATCGACCGTTTTTGATTTTGTTATCCATGTAAACAAAATACTATCTTTTATCGTAGGAAGCCTTGATGGATTTGACAGTAAGTAAACTTTATGTAACCCAGAGTTTTTGGCCGAAAGTGATATTTGAATCATAGGAAAAGCCAAGAAATTACAGATGAAATCTAATTAGAGTCTTCGGTTCGGGTTTTGAATGGGGACAATTTTAATTTATCCGAGCTTTTTTACTTGTATCAAAGATCATTCAAACAGTTCGTGTGCAGCAAGGGTTGTGCCTGTTTCTCTGAATCGATGTTTTACTGTCGCAGCAGCGGGAGGTTGGTTAATTGAGGCGCTAAAGCGTGATTCAGTCTATTCATGTCATACTCTCGGTAACGTGTCACTCTTAAGGGCTTTTGCGGTAAGGTCATCATGATGTTTTGTTTAATTAAAAATTACAGTAGTTTATTTATTTAATGGTTTTTTCTGAAGCATTGTTAAAGCTTAACTATCAATAAGAACAGAACACTGAAAAATTATTCAAACCGGCTAATTGATTTATTAAACAACTTGTTCTTACGTTTGAATAAATTGTGGACTGTATCCATCTCTCTTGCTTTATAATTAAAATTAACACTAATATGGCCTAATATTTATCAGATTGAATCTAAATAATTTAAATAAAAATAGGATACATGTATCTTGCAAGATATACTTAAAATTGGGCGACTACTAAAACAGTCAGCAAAATTGTTACCCATCATTGATTCGGAATAGTTTTCCACCACAGATCTAGTTGTATAATTGACATCTTCTACAAAGATAATTTAACATTTATTATGTGAAATATAATTTACATAATTAAGATTAACATGTGAAATATGAATAAATAAAAAAAAATAAGTAACTTAAAAAGAGATAGCAGTTAATGTACAGACTACAAAGTGCCGAAAAAGCCATTGTGCAGCCTGTTTTAGTAACTAGTAAAAAGAAAACTCATCAAAATACCAGCTTTTAATTCTGTACGCCAGAGGCACGTCTCATCTGCAATAGACTCACCAGTACCACTCGATTCAAACAAGTTGAAAAGCCAAATAAGGTACGAAGTTGAAGAGCACAATTATAGCATGCTGGGAACGTGTTTCATATACAGTTGTCTATCTGATAAAGTAAAAATGAATACAAACAATTTTAAAGATATTTCTATACAAATTTATGATGACCAAGATCGTCGAATCAATTTTTCTATTCCTAAAAAGGCTGAAGATACAAAGGGGATATTAAAAATTCACAAGTCGAGATAAGTTGACAACGGCATTGGATAACAAAAAAGAAAAACAACGAAGAGAAAAACAAGTTCACAAAACAATACATTTAAAATTTAGAACTAAGCAAAATAAAATCGTAAGAATTGGTGATTTTCCACTGTAAATGCTGCTATAGTTTGAAAATACCTACCACCAACTTCAAACTTTGGAACACACCCTTTCACATGATCACACCTGGCGTAAATAAAAAAAAACAAAAAAACAAAAAAACACTGAAATTTCAATATACAGGAGGAATAATACTAGTATAATAGCATGTTCACGTTCATTATATTTGAAACTTAAGTATCTGATAAACATTGCAATGGCTATCTTACTTGATAGATAAAGGAACTTAACACTACTGCTGCCATATGTGGCACAAGAAGTGCACACCTTTTCGTAGCACATGAGTAAAGCTTTGTTTTTGGTGGGCCTCTTTTTGCTCAATCGTTAATTTTCTATGTAGTGTTTTGCGAACCTGTTAGTTTTGTTGTTGTTGTTGGTTTTTGTTTTGCGATAACGTTGTCATTATCATGTTGTTTTAAAATCATTGTGGTTTTTATGTTGCAGGTTTCAATTGATTCGTTTGTTGAGAGTTTGCAATACGACTAGTTTTTCTTCTTCTTTGTAAAGAACAATTTCAAAATATGCATAGAGCTATTAGTTGTTCCATTAAGCTAACATCAATTAAGTCACCGTCTTTAATTACATTAGTATGACGATATTATGTGGTCCCTTTAGTAGCTTATTTAATGTGCGATATAGCCTGGAGGAAAAATGAACATCTAAGTCGTCGTGTAATAAGGTCTCAAATGGCCGTTTATCATAAAGATTTCAACACAAAACGCGTCTTCGTGAAATATCAACCTATTAGTAATGACATATGTCCATATACTTACGGCAGTATGATGAGACTTTAAAGTGAAAGTATGTTGATAACATTAAAAGTGTGTACTTCCCTTTTTTTAAGGGTAAACAAATGCCTAGAAAAATTCTCGAGTTTCGACTTATTCAATCTAAATGTTTAAACAGCCACTATATAATCTTAAAAAGACAAACAGCAAAACCGCAAACCGTATTTAATTGTACGGTACAATTTGAGTTTCGTATTATACAAAAAAGTAAACAGAAACTATAAATGATATTGGTTTTAATACAAAAATGCATTTTATTTCATTTTTATTTTACCTTTTTTCAATGTGGTTACAGTTGCACCGGGTCAAACATCTTGCTCCAAATCTGTTGTTTGGACAATGGGTGCACGGTTTTCCTCCTATTGACATAAAACCTAATTTGCACTCTGAAAAGCACATGAACAAACTTTGGAAATGAAATTCTATTTTGTGCCCCGGCTTTATAGAAATGTTAAACATAACGCAAGGTATATTGTAAAAGTTCTAGCATACAATGGTTAGAGAGAGTGAACGTTGTAAGTTTTAAGTGAGTGTGCTTTAGTTGAGAGGACCACTGCATATTCAAGCAGTATTATTAAGTTCTGTCGACTGCCTTATCAATAAAATTAACAAATTCGTTCGTTAAAGTAAAAATCAAATATGTTTGATTCCTAACTGATCAATATAATTGTTTAAAACACCAAAATGAAAAACCGAGTTCTACCAGGAAAAACGCCACCGCCTAACACTTGGTACGGCAAACGTCAATATAATGCGAAAAGTCGGTCATTGAATATGTACATATTGATAGATACTTCAATAAGAAGCATAGAAGCTAGTTTTAAAAAACAGATGCCTAAAATAATTATGTTACAGATCATACTTTGATACTACAAAAGGCAGTACTGCCGCATGTGATTGAACCTATGCCTAATGGTTGTATGTTCATCATTCCCTATGATCTTAATCAATAACCGTCCATTGTTGATTACATTATTTCTCGTTCTATAAAAAAAAGAATCTTATTTAAAAAAAAATTATAAGTACCAAATTAATAATTTTTAGAAGATGTTCTGAATTACGTTCAGTGTTGTTTTTCAGTTATTGTTGAATGATTAAATACAAGTATTTACCATAGCATAATATTTTATAAGTTGTTGAAACCAAGAGAATCCTAAATGAATATGACACGAATTCCTAGTACTACACATTGTAACGTTGTATAATTTTAGTATCCAATCGATTTTTGTGAATAACTACAAAACTAGAACCAACGCTATCGAAAGAATGTTTGCTTTTGAAGCATTTTAGACAGAAATGAGGGCACAATTGTTTTCCTGCTCTACTTGTTGCAGTCCATAATCCTACTGGTTTATATAGTTTCATTTTGTTTTCTCTTAATTTCAATTTCTTTGATTTGATTTGCACATTTCCTATTTGTATTTTGTTCAAATAAGCGAGATATATCATAATATAGACAAGGGGCTCATCTTAAATCTTACCGTTATATCCATTTGCTTTTAGTTTTCTGCAAATGGGTAATATATTGGTAATTTTTCATTAAAGCTTTAAATATATGTTCATACCTGTACATGTATCATTTATGTCTTCATAGCCCGAACAACAATACTCTATATTCCTATAATAATAAAAAAATATATATAAATAAACATTATTATATTTTTAAAAAGAAAAGTATTTTCTATGCCATAGTTTTCTGTAAATAACGTTAACACTACTTTTGCACTTAGAAGATACATCAGACCAACTTTAATCTGATTGTTGGTTCATTGTGTAACTATTCACTTATCTTTCTATGTTCTAGAATAATTACCCTTGCAATACCTTATTAGCCACAAATATAAAGCCTTACATACAACACAATTAAAACATCAAACAGTTTAAGAATTACGAAACAGTCATCTCAAGACATGCGTATTAGTTTGTTTAGAATAAGGCTGATTTAGAGTTTGATACATGAAAAGGGTATTTTTATTGTTTAAGACACTATGCCGTAATTACTTTGATGGGAAAGCTGTCTGACTGATTAAAACAAATTTACTACAGAACAAAAATTATATTGTAAAACCACTTATAATACTTATCGTATCATTACGACCACATGACTAAGTTGTATCCGGATTTTGATTGCTATGTTGAATGAAATGAGTTAGTGAAACATATTATAGTATCTTTAAACTATTATATTGTTAAAACCATACCTTTGTGTGTTTTCACATACTTTAAGACCTGTTAAACTTGTGCCTGTATCACTAAAACAAAGTAATAGAATTATGTAAATAAAGAACATTGTGTCAAAGTCGATAATGATATCAACTAAAAACTCTATCAAAATATCAGAAAGCCGGAAGAATTGTTTTTTCAATTCCTGAAATATATATATAAATATAGCCAATGAAAAAAATACAGATCGGATGTTCAATAGAACAAACTTCCTTAATAATCATCAAGTTCATTGAGGTTAATTTGAAAAAAAAATATACATTTGGACAACAATAAGGAGGCAATTTTATTATAATTTTACTGAACATTTTTATGTCATTTAAAGTAATTTTTGTTATGTTTGAAAACGTACATATGTAATGTCTATTTGATTTATAATTTTATTAAAAATCTATAAAAATTAAATTAGGTACACATTTGTGTTTTTGATATGTTCTATCCCAGGTAAACCGTATTGGGTTTTGACATGTTGTTGTGTATTCCGGAATTGACATACATGGTTAAATACTGAGGTGTTTTGAGGTGATAATATATATAAGAAGGGAAAGGTGTTTGACAAGTAAAGTAATAGAATCGTATTTGGTTAAAAATTGTAAATCATGAATGGCAAAGTGAAAAATTTATGTCAAATACGTGTTGGTATACAGAGGCGTTAATCCGGATATTTGTTATTATATAAAAGTTTAACAATATAAATTATGACTTTAGTCTAAAAGATTAAAATAAATGAATGAAAGTAGATGTGAGGTATACCTCAATTAAACATCGACACATCCACAAACACAAAATTAAATGATCTGATAATGTCAGCAAATGTTTTCAACGAAATGCAAGTATCGTTTTGTTATATCAAGCCTTAATATTAATTATCCTAAGTCTAGAAAAATTGTGATTGAACGAGACAATCAAAGATTCATTAGCCAGTTCTCCAACGTATGGTTTTGTTTGTTGTTATCGTAAAATGATGTGAAAGTATTGCATAACTCTTTATAATTATTTTATTTTATCTATTTTTGTTTCTATTAATTGTGCTCGTCGTTACATCCCGCTTGTGTCAATTTTTGTAAAATTAGGTCGCTTGCAAACTTTAAATTGAATATATAAATTCATAAGTTAAGTCTTGCTTATTATGTATTATAGCAAACTCTTCAGTCTTCTTCATACAGTTAGACTGAAAAAGTAAAATGCATAGCCTGCTAAAAACAAATTTCAATGACTTCTTGGAGCAGATTAATAGAATCAACGGAGCATATTAATAGAATTGACCATAATACATGTAGGGACTATGTTGAAGACACTGCAGAAACATGACCCATTTGAAATAGGTAACCAACTCGAAAACAGAAATACAGTAAACCTGCCTTAACGGTTGCAGTGATCACATGCCACTAACGGTTACTTTTAGACTCTTTCAAACGTTTGCTCCATATAATTTAACTCTTTTCAGTGGTCACCTGTCTGACGCGGTTATCTAATTTTTTGCACAAAATCTTCATTTCAGCTTTTAACAACGGTCATTTAATGTTTTTAACTTCCAAAATAAAACATGTAAAAATGACGAAAAATATATTTGTTCAGTACCGAAGTCAAAATGGAAATCGGAACCCGTTTGCAACCAACCGAGATAATGCAATAGAAGATGAATCCATTGAAAACCATATCACCGACTTTTTTCTCCACGATTTTGTTCTTTAAATTTACAGCGCCGGAATCCACCATTGTTTATTCCACTGTCGCATGAATGAACAAATACAAGTGTATGTTCCATAAGAAAATGTACGACAATGAGCGAGGCATGGAATACTCTTCCATGTACCACCCATTACTTCTGCCAGAGAAATGTAAATGAGAAGATGTCGCTGGGTAAACTGTCTTTAGAAAACAACTACAACCCCGTTGAATGTCAATATGCCTCTGCAATGTCGCGAAAGCCGTAAGAAGTCGTTTTGTTTCTAAAAGTGTGTTGATTTAGTTGACCATAAATTACAGTATTATAATTTCTAATCTATTGCGTTATAAAAAGATAATTTGAAAAATTGTGTAAAAGTAAAGATTGTCTTCAAGTTTTTTTTATTATAATACGTCATTCGCTTCCTCCTACAACTAATACCGTTAGTACCCTACATTTGTTTCTCTCATTTTTGAATGAAAATCTTGGAATGAAAACAAATACTGTATATCCTTTATACCAAGGGACCTAACTGTTCGGCTGTATGTAGAAAATGTTAACAAGCAAAAATTAGACATTTTTTTTTGTAAGATTTTTTGTAAGATATAAATTTTAAATTGTTGGTCTAGCTAGCGGCTTTTTTTCAGTGCCAATTTGTAGCGTAGTCAACCTCTGACAAATAATCTGTGATTGTGGACTGCGGTGATTTTGTATATATAAGTGATTTACCATGCTCTCATAAAACTATCCCAACATAATACACTTTATGCGAGTACTACCAGTACAAGAAATACTATGTTTTCTTGGAAAATGTATTTGTTTTATTTGAAGTTAAAGCTGATTTTGTATGAACAGCACTTCAGAACAACAAGAAAGTTACATTCCAATCGTATCATTTGAAGAATCACAGTACTGCATTCAAGAAGTTGCCGCCGTCAATCGGCGATTTGACGGTAAATTTTAACTATGAAAAATATTGCTACATAAAACATTGCATTATAATGTAAAATAGTAGTCCTGTAGTTGAAGAGTTGTTGTCGTCAATTAAGATTAAACGGTCGCAAATATCAAAATAAAATAAAGATTCGCAAAATTTAATAAATTAATTTAGCCCTATAACGTATGGCAAAACATGACGTCATACGAATGACTTCATTCTAAATAAGAGATAAACCAATAAATTGTACGTTTCAAAACTGAATAATATCCCTCTAAGCTGAGTGCTTGGGGCAACTTTTTTATTTATTTTTGATTTTAATGTATAAACCGTATACTGCGGACTCATTATTATTCGTGGAGTATCAATTTTCATGGATTTTGTTGAGATAGGTGAACAACGAACTTAAGTGTTACACAAAGTATAAATCTCCTTTAGGCTTGTAAGAAAACTATGTCCAAGAGCAGATAAAACTGAAAAGGACCAATATCAAATAAAACGGGACACGGATTCAGACCTATGCATGATGGATATTAATTAATTTAAAATGTTGAAATCGCACATTTTATAACAGCATATTTTTAAAACAAGACATCCTGATACTATTTACCTACATTTTGGCATTGCAAAAGGTTATACATTTTTTCGACTGTTTATGAAGTTATTTAAACTAAATTCGTTTGATATGTACTGATTTGGAAATTGAACTAGCTGTCCGTAACGATGAATACTTCTACATCAGTACTTTGGGTCTTATTTTAAAACCTTAGTTGCAGTATAATGCGTATTTGATATAACAATGTGTTATGCACATTCCTTAGCATTATCACCAATTGTCAACTTTAATGGTTATTAATATCGCTGCACTACTGTCTTACTTGTTTTTTGTATTGTTATTAAAAAAGGAACATCTTTGTGCAATATGTAACTTCACGTTTGTTAATGACCCACATTCCCGGAAGTTTTTATATCTCATATACATAGCGGTGAACTTGCCATAAAAGATACCACTGCAACTGAAACGTCATCCTCGTTTCTTGATCTTTATTTATCAACACGAACCCCATCAGTAGAACAACATGTGTAATTTCAGTATTACAGTTGAATTCCAGAAGATCGTGTTGGTGAGAGAGCTGTATTTGCAGTTTAATATCTTATAAATTTATACGATATCTTGTATTCTTTATGAGATAACTTATTTCATCTGAAATGTATAAGATATTTTTTTATTTTACTATTTTATATATCTTTTGTAGGTATAATATGTTAAATATTTTAAAATATAAAGAATAAATACAGTATTAACTGTGTTATGTATTTCATTAACAGTATACGATCTCTTAAAAGCTTTACAAGATATCTTATACGGTTGATTTATCAGATCTCTCAATTAGTTTATAAAATATATTATTTATTCTGTAAGATATATATATTAGTTTAAAAGACATCTATTTACATTTATTAGATTACTTTCTTAGTTTATAAGATATCTCACATGATATATAGGATATCTTATAAAATATATAAATATATCTTATTGACTTCAAATCAAATAAGCTATATCAAAAGTTATACATGATATCTTATTTACTATATCAAAATATATTATTAAGTATGTAAGATATATAAATAAGTATATAGTTATATTAATAAGTATATAACATATCTTATATAGATTATAAGATGTACATAAAACAGTAAACAAGATGTCTCATTATCTAAATAATATGTCATATAACCTAAATAATAGATAACTTTCAGAATTTTCCTCAACACCGTGTTGTTTTTATAAAGGGACGTAACACCACTACTAACCGTGTATTTAAATAAACCACGCCTACTAACCCAATATGAAATATACACGGTCTCCACGCGGCTGCATTTAACCCATCATATTCCTAGAAATGTATAGGAGGTAAGATAAGTATTAATATACATGTATGATAACGTTTGGTCTGACAGCATTTCCATAGTATGTGTTTTTGTTTTGACATATCACTAGGTTTTTTGACATATGTAACTCCATTTTAAATGTTTTCAATGTCTTTTTTAAGTCTTAAAAATGAATCATATTATAATAAAATTTCTTTATATTGTAAACTTCAACAAGACCGTAATAAAATTTAAAAAATATGAATGTTTAGAAGATTCTGTCAGATATAATTGTTTGGAAAATATGTTTATGAAGCTAGAACTATGAAATGATCAACCTGAAATGAATATTAATCAGTTCTTTATAACATATTTATCAATTCATATTATGCCTTGGAGCTTAAGTGTACCAACGAATCTCGTTTTCATTTGAGGAGGTAAGAGTTTATATCAATAAATCGATTTGACTAAACTCTTATCCAAAAGAAGAGTACATCGTGCTTTGTTTCAGACGAAGATTGCCGATTCAGAAACAAAAGTCCCAACTACCTAACACAACGTTGACTTAAGATGCATTTGAAATGTATACACCGTTGACGTTCTAATATTTCGGTTTTAGCGTTGACGTTTAAGG